GGCACTGTGCAGAATCCTGGGAACAGTAAGCCAACACCTGCCACTTCCCATGACTTCCACAGTTCTGACATTGCGCTCACAGACTACCCTGCCATCACCCCATTTCTCCTGGTCCTCAACATTGCCAAGCGAAAAATCAAAGTAGAGGCCAACGGGGAGCCTTCAAATCAGTGTCAGGCTTGATCAATAGACGAATTGCAGGGAAGGCATTTTCCATCGTGCCTTGCTCCTAGGTGGAAATGTATCCTGCACTCCCCCAGGTACGTGGGGGCTTGAAGTCTTACAACTTGTTGATTTTGCTCCATAAAGCAACTCTCTCTGCCACTTCAGGGAGTCCTTTACGATGGCATCATCCGAGTCTGTGGAGAGGCCCAAAGCAAACGGTACTTAAGCATGTCATAGTGGACCCCGCGAGTGGCCCACGGAGAGCTGTAGAGTAAGCACTTCCACAGTGGAATGGCTGAGGCACAGACCCAATTATGTCTGGGGGCCCAAGGAGCTTTCCTCCAGGCACCTCCGCAGGGTCTGCAAAATCAATGGCTGTTAAAAAGAGTTGGCGATTAAGGAGACTACATAGGGCAACGTGCAGACATTTGTCACAGGTGTTCGGGGGTATGTGTCTGCCATGAAGGGCTTTAAAATGATCATCAGAAATATTTTCTCCAAGAAGCACTCAAGAGGACAAATATAAACCCATGAATCTCCAAGGCTAGCCTTTAAAATCTGATCTTTCCAAAGATCAACTGTTTCCAGTAAAATAAAGGCTTCAGTATGCCTTCCTAAGATAATGGGGGTTGGGGAATAAATGTAAGCCAGGATTCCTTTGTTCAAAAATAGCATTACAGACTCCTGGCCTTGTTGCCAACTCTACTGACTTGTTTGGCCATGGATATTAATTTGCATATCCTCAGAAGATGCATGCACGTCTTCTTCCATGGCCGCTGTACTGTAAGCACAGAGCATGTCGTGCAGAGGCAAACTCAGCCTTGCTCCTTTCTTGCAAAGTCCATCCTGTCTTGTTCTGTACAGCTTGCTCTTTATGACATTTTGGATAAAGTCCAAACCAAATGGCTTGTGGCTCGTTCTTGGGTAGTAAAATCTCATCCACTCACTTCCACTCACAAAATAGGTCTCAGTTCAGTAATTAAATATGTCAAGTCTGTAGTCGTAATCAGAGCATCGAACTTCCCCTGATGCTTGACTATTCTCTTTCCATACCTGAGTCTGCTTTGGGCTGGGTCACGGTTTGCAGGAGTCAATTCCACCTATGCTTGTCTCACTTTTCCTCATCCTGCATATGAGGGTTGCGTGCAAGGTACAAGGACAGGGGCCCCTAGGCCCTCCCTGACTAACTCTGGTGTGTGAATTCTTAGGACACTGATTCTTTCTCCCAAGAGCTACCTCTTGCTGCTCCATCACTATACTTCTTTCCGGTTCTGTCATCACAGTCCCTTGGACAGCCTAGACCTCCTGCTATGGCTATTCATGCTTGCATATACCTCAGTCCAAACCTTTGCCTCTCCCTTTCTTAGGGTGCAGGGGAGACAAACTAAGAGCCCTATATCTGTCTATAAGCCTCTAAATAAACTTTGCTGTCCTATCCCCAGGGGGCCTAGGCTGAACCCAGAGCTGGAGTCTTTTACAAAGTGCAATGAAGGACAGGGATGTGCTTTGTCCCTCTGACCACACCTGAGTCTTGCTAGTGATGTTTGGGATAAGGACTGGTCTCCAAAGATAACCCACAATATCCCACTATGGGAGCATGTAGCCCTGCCTTGACCTCTCAGGGAGGTGGGTTTGAGTACAATAGCTTGGCCAATGACCTAACCAACCATGAATCCATAGTGAGTCCTTTGCTTTTGGACAGCAAGCTTACTAGATTGAAATCACGTTCTGTTGCCAGATGCCTAAAGAAGGCACAGAAGCATCAGGTTTTGTCCTACCCCAAGGCCAACGTCAATGACAGTGAATCTGGAGGGTGTGAAGAAGCAAGCACTACAGCTACTGTTAACTGAATGGCCTTGAACCTTTTTTATGCCTCAGAGCAACAAAGTTCTGTCCACTTGACTCTTTAGACCATTAAATACCCACTTTGAGAGGCTAACATCAAGGTTCATCTGTTTGTGTGCATCTTTTAATGTGATTTTTGCCCTTGTTGGGGGTGTGTGTCACAAAACAAATGGTTGTTCCTCTCATCCATGTGCTCTTTCTTCACTCGTCTGTGGGATGGTGATGTGGTGACTTGCCAGTCCTGCTCTGTGGAAGGTGGAGGCAGATTGCCCAGTGTGGAGTCAGGACAGAGACCTGTGCCTAGGTCTTCTTCACACTATGACAAGGAAGGAGATTCAGGCATGACACCAGAGTTCTAAAAGTCTTTCCTAAATCAATCACATCTGTCCGTCCATCTATCTATCTATCTATCTATCTATCTATCTATCTATCTATCTATCTATCTATCTAGTGTGTGTGTGTGTTTGTGTGTGTGTACCGTTCTCTGTTGATAGTATTCTGGGCTTATAGAAGTTAGTTTTTGAGCCATCTCAAAGACACAAACTCTAGAAATTTTGATGTGCTCAACAGCAAGGCTTGGCATCATAGGTGAGGAAATGCTCCCATTTCCTTAAATTTAGTTTCTTGACTTAGGTTGATTATCCAGCTGAATAGAAAGCTGATAGCTCCTCACAAGGTGAACCTGTCTGCCTCTCCCCCTTCTCCTCCCTTCTTTCATCCCTTCCTCTCTTCTCTTTTTTGTCAATACTGGGGATCCAACCCCAGACCTCACACATCCTGGGCAGTATTTCTTCTCCTGAGTTACACTCTACTCTCTTCCAGGCCAATCTTGAAGGGATTGGGTAGATGGTTTGGCCAGGCCCTAGGGATGTGTCTTGTTTGTGGTTGTGGCTGATTGTGCTGGAGCCCTGTGATTAGTATGTCTGGCTTCTGTGTGAAAGGCAGGGTGTGAGTGGAAGCTCAGTCCTGCAATACAATGACAGGAGGAAGCCATGACGACACCAGGGTCACATGCTTGTCATGATTGCCTACATCGTGAGCTAATAATAATGGTTGCTCCTTCAGATGTAAGCACCAGCCCTCTATCCTCTGGGGACAGTGTCAGCAAGGAATTCTGCAGAGTGACAGTGGTGGACAAGGACCCTCATACAATGACATACCCTAGGTGTTCATGCCCACTCCCAGATGGAGAAGAGGAGCCAGAGATGGAACACCCATGTTCCTGCCTGGTCCAGATGATGTGTCTATACTCCATGGCTACTCTGTCCATGGTCAGATCTTCCCAGCCGCTCTGTTTCTGAAGCATAATTGCTAACTGAACACGACTTAGTGAGCATCTTCCTCCTCACAGCTCAGGAGCAGGCTGCGCTGCAGCTGACTGCTTGACTCTGCAGGCACAGCCTGTAGGGTACAGAGCCACAGCAAACATGATGATAACCTCAAGCCCAGAGTGGAAATCAGATCTCCCATGGCCCCATCCACTAACCTGCACCGAATGGGTGGCAGAAGTGGAGTGTGGACAGTGAGCATGGTTTTGGCAGTACACAAGATATTTGCAGTGGTAGACCAAGAAAGATTGCAGGTGGGAAGGTGCCAAGGTGGTTCCCCTGCTTTGCCCTACCTGCCCCATCCTCCAGGCTCAGATGTTTCCCCAGAGGAAGCCACTGGTCACCATTTTTGTATGTTTATATTTGCACTTGTGCGCACATATGTGAATATTTATGTGGCATGCACACACACATGGGAAGCTATTTCTGCTTCTCCTACCTTCCCCTATTGTGGCCATGCCCGTAGCAGTTGATGTCAGATAGATCCCCCTTGAGAAGGCAAAGTGTCTCAGTGTCATGTCTCTCAAACCACGAGAAGCCTGCTCCTGCTCCTCTAGTAGTTTTTCTTCTGTTGGGCTGATGTGTGGTCGGATCGTTGGGTTTCCCTTTCTATTTTTCGTGTTAAAACAGCCATCAGTGTAATATCTTTTACTGAAAGAATTCGCTATGGTTTCTGAGTCCTTGAATAGATATAGTTTGGAAAAGAGACTTTAAACTTCAGCTTGGCTTTCGTTTGTGACTTGACAGATTGTGTCTTTTTCTCTATGCCTTTGCTCATGTAATTATCATTCAAATGTCATGCACTCCAACCCATGGAAAGCCCCTTACCTCTTTGGTGATGGATGAGGGATAGCTGGAGGTATGGCCAGCTTGGAGTCCTCTCCACACCCATCAGGGACGCTCCATGGTGTGCATGATGGCCATCATCTGGGTTTTTAGAGGCTGGTTCTGTGTCACACATTGTTCCTTGTCCTTTCTGGGCAAGGCCTGGGTCCTATACATCCCAACCCAAGTAGTCTGGCCACACAGCATTACCAAAGGTGATTTTAGACTGTGCTGAGTACTGGCCCATATGGCGTTGGATGGCACCAAGGAGGCTCCAGAATGCCTGGGCATGGGATGCACAGGGAAAGTGATAACGTCCAGATTTGCCTATGGGCCATCTGGGTTGAGCCACGGCAGTGGCTAGCCATTTGCTGGTAGTATTCTTGCCACCTCCCACCATGTGCTGACTCACCAGCAGGACTGTTCCAGCCCTGGATGCTTTTGTTGGGCACACTTTCCAAGTACTCATTCTTCCTGGGATTCTTCTTCTAAAAGATCGTGGGAAACAGACTGGGACCAGTCAGCCTCTTCAGGAAAAGCCAAGAAGAGGACTGCAGGGAGTCACAGACACAGATGCTATGGGTTGTCCCTGGCTGGGTCAGGAAGGGGCCCAGGTGAGAGACCCATATCTCTGAGTCTCAGTGTCAGGGCAACATTGTCATGAGGGTATAGCTGGAAGACCAAGATGGCAGGGACTGCCTGTAGACTGGCACTCAGTTTGGGTTTCCAAAGCCACATTTTATCTTCACTTAATTTTTCAAATCATGACTGACACGACAAATGGAATACTAATGACCTTTGTTTTGGTCCCACAGATAAAAAAAGCAAAGAGCTCAGCCGCGCACCCCGTCCTCCTGCGCTGATGCTACGTGCCCCAGAGAGGAAAAGCCTGGCAGGAGACAAAGAGGACAAGGTGCGTGTCAATCCTTGAACTTTTCTAGAGAAACAACCCATAGGTGGAGGATGTGGGGCTGGAACACCTCATACGTGTTTCTCATAGGCATTTATGAAATGTCTTTGCCAGTCTGCCCTGCACCACAGCTCAAACTAGGCTGGCAACTTTGTTCCCCAAGGGAGAGCAAGCCCCAGGCAAGGTCAGACAGAGCACCCTGAGCTAGTGGAGCTTGTGAATGGGGTTCTGTGGAGTCCACACTGCATCTGTTTTCATAACGAAGAGAAGACATGTAGAGGGGCAGGCTTCTGCCGATGTGCCATTCAAAGTTAGGTTTTACTGTTAGAGACATCCCAAGACAGGGCTATTTTTCTTTAAAATTGAAAGTTTAGGCCATATTCTTCCCACAGTTGTCAAATGGCTACACAGCCCTGCTTCTGGATAACCTGGGATTTCTCTATGACACTACAGTCAAGAATAATGAGTTACAGGATGCGTGCCCTCAGCAGGCTCTCCTGGAGCCTCTGTATCTCAGAGCCTTTCAACGCATTCTCCTCTTTCCTCTTCTCAAGCTTTCGTACCTCGTGCCCACTGGGAGTGGTCTGTCCCCCCTGGCCCATGCTCCCCAGGGAGCCTTACCCCAGGACACAATCACCCTGATGCTCACCCTCCTCTTTGTACTCACCCTTCTTACCAGTGTTGGATGGCGAACACCAGTCTGATGGAGGAGGGTCATCTGCCTATCTGTTGCTTTCATTGGTTAACTAATAAAGAAAACTGCTTAGCCTGATGGGGCAGAATTTAGATAGGCAGAGTAGACCGAACAGAATTCTGGGAAGAAGGGAAGTGAAGCAGACACTATAGCTCTCCTCTCCAAGATGGACACAGGTTAAGATCCTTCCCTGTAAGCCACCATCTCGTGGTGCTACACAGATTATTAGAAATGGGTTAATCAAGATGTGAGGATTAGCCAGTAAGAGACTAGAGCTAATGGGCCAAGCAGTGTTTAAAAGAATACAGTTTCTGTGTAATTATTTTGGGTAAAGCTAGCTGGTGGCCAGGAGCTGGGAGGTGGGAAGCGGCCCACCACTCCTATCACAACACCAGTCACAAGTATGTGTTGGTGCAGCCTTGAACATGCTCTGGTTTTCCAGAAGAGATCAGCACATCTATGCCAGAATTACATATTAATTACACAGCTAGCCTCACTGATGTCATCCATAAATACTGGCTTTATTACTGGGTTCTGCCATTCTGATTCACTTTTATTACTTCCTCGTCAAGCAGGAGTTTTACACCGTGATTAGCCGTTTTTATCACCAACAGGAAATCATAACCAGCATGTGCCTCATGAAGAAGATCCTGGTAATTAGAGGAGAGGATCCTAGCGTTGCCGGATTTAGAAGTTGGTCCCATCACAAATTACACTCTACCACATTTACTTGAATAATTTGGTACTCAGAGACTCCATGTTGAGTTCTATTGTTCAATTAACTTCTCAGTGAAAATTCCCTCCAGTTTTTCTAATTGGATTAGTAATATAAACCCTGGTATTTATATATATGTATATATATGCATATATATGATATATATTTGAAGACAAGTGCTTCTTAATACTCTCTGTTTAGCTAATTATTTATCCTGACCTTATTTATTTTCTCACAGGAAACAAAGATATTTTCCATTTCCAGAAAGTTCTTTAAAGAATTCGACAAAACTTTGTTCTCATACTTATGAGTGTAAGGGATTGCTGTATAAATTAAAAACCATTAATTAAAGGCAGATATCAGGCACAAAGAGCAGAGGCTATGAGAGACCCAGGAAAGACACGGGATGCACATGCCCAGGTGCATCATGGGCCCAATGCTTCAGTCACCTTCTCAGATTTACCTTCACACCAGAACAGGGCAGGTGCTTTTGTGGCCAACTCTTCCCATCTCAGGCTTGTTGTCCTTCCCTGTAGGGAGGGACTGGCTGGCCCTTTGTATAACACAGTCAACATGAAGCAGCTTTGTTGTATTATTAAGGATTTTACCAAAGAGCTATACTCGGCAGATTACCTCTTCAGAATTCTCTCTCTTTTCAAAAAAATAATTTTAAAGAATTTAAATGATGTGTAGCTGTGTGGGAATATGGGCACATGATTGTCGGTGCTGGAGGAGGCCAGAAGAGGATCTTGGATGCCCTGGAGCTGGAGTTACAGGGAGCTGTGAGCTGCCCACAGTGAGCACTGGGAGCCAAGGTCAGGTCTTCTGTGAGATAAGTGTGTACTCTGAACCCGAGAAAAGTGTGTACTCTGAACTCCTGGGCTGTTGCTCCAGGTCCACATTTAACCTGCTTTGGCCAGTGGTTCTAAACCTGTGAGTCATGATCCCTTGGGGCGGGTCACATATCAGAAATCCTGCATTCTAAAATGTCAAGTTGCTATTCAGTCATGGAACCCTCAGATGAAAACAGGCTGTCATTGAAAACAACCTACCTGCCTTTTGATCTCACCTGCGCCATCTTTGTTGTGGTCTGAGGTTGATACTGAAGCCATGCAAACTGCAGGGCATGGTGAGGTGGGGTGGGGAGGGGAACAAAGGTCTAGAAAGGTCCTTATCCCTAAAATTTATGCTTTCTGAATTCCTTTCTTTCCTAGAACCTAGAATTCCTTTCTTTCAAAGAGCCTCCTCTCTTGATGTTGCTCTTTCATGGTGGGAATTAGGCTTCAGCCCATTGTTGAACCAAGAATTCATGACTGTCTTAAGTAGGACAGCTAGGAATGACAGCCCGAGTCTTGGCTTTGGGTCCCTACTGGACTTGGGATTGTCCAGAGTTTTTCATTTCAAACAAGATTTGCCTCCCCTGCCCCAGTGCCATCTGAAATGAACACAGAGAAGGGTCCGTTTGCTGCTGCCTTGGACTGGAGAGAATAAATCTTCATTTTCTTCTAGGACAAAAAACCTGACACTTCCCAAACCCAGCTGAGCCTCAGAATCACATGTACCTTGAAAAATGACCCTTTGAGTGCTGTCTGAGCAAAGTGATCCAGAAAGGGGGAGAATACCCTCACCTCCAGAGCAGCCAAACCTGTCTAGGACTCTGTTCTCCCTTAAGGATGGCAGCTTGACCTAGGTGTGGTGATTGACACTGGGAAGGCTAGTACTCAAGGGACTGAGACAAGAGGATCACTGCAAGTTTGAGTCCATCCTAGGCTATATAATGAGTTCCAGGCCAGTCTATGGTAGCATAGGCTTATCACTTCCTCTGCCATAATACACCCTGATGTTAGCCCTGCCTGTGTCTAGGATACCTTGCATCATAGAGGTTCTCTGTCACTGTACATAAGGATTTCATGGCATAGTGACTCCAGCCTATGAGCCTGGATATGAGCTCAGTGACATTTTTCTATGCCTGGCCCCTACCAATCTGTAACACTCTCATGACTCCCCTTTGCCTCTGGGACTGAGAACCAACAAATGGGGACCTTAGAAGCTGCCTCTGGTGGGTTGCTCTACATGTATATGTAATGTAGTCCATTGTCAGTTCAAGCCTTTTTGTGACTGTCCAAAGTGAGAGCCTCCTTTCTGTGATGTTTTACTCAGTAGTCATTGCTAAGAACAGACAGTTGAGACTGCTGGTCACTTGGTTACTTTCCTCTTTGTTACTGGAACTGAGAGAATGTTCAGAATTAAAACAATCATCTCTCCTCTTCTCTTTCATTCAAAGGAGCCCTCGCCCATCCTGGTAAGAGGGGAGGAGACTGCAGCAAAAGGCAATAGACCTGTGGCCTCCACGCCTGTGCCCGGATCCCCCTGGTAAGATACCTCTAAAGCCAAGAGCTATTAAACACAGTTCTGTGTCCCAGAGTCCGCTTAATGTCATAGGAGAGAAAGTGCATGCATATATACTCCTTAGGTGTGTTATGCTTAATAAAACAAAATCTCCACCCCAGGGCAGGAATAATTCTCCATGCTGTCACATCTGTAGCAAGGAAAATGGCGCGTAAGTGATGAGTTTCTTTGTCCTGATGTATTTGTATGAATTAGAACGGCATTGCGGTTGCCCATAGATCAGCGGCTCGAGGTAAATGTAGTCTGCCATGAGCTGCTAAGGAGTCTCTACCCTCTCCTGAAGGAGGCGCATTGGGAAGAAACTGTTAATTAAAGCTGTGTCTCGCTCTCTCTGGCTGCCCTGAGAGGATTCCTGATCTCTGAGTATGCCTTACTCCAAAGCACCTTCCACGAGGGAGCCACAGTCTTTGGTTTTTAAAAGTGCCCTTTTCTAATGGAGTAATTTGGAATCGGGATAAAAAGGTTATTATAGTAAAAATTAGTTTTAAAACCTGACAATCGGAGAGCAATATACAGCTGGGAGGAAATGCTAAGTCCGACTAAGAGAAATAGCGATGATGGCATTAGGGTAACGTGTCCTCCAGGAACAACAATGGGGGTATTGGAGAAGTGTGCTCTTTGGGGGCTGCAGTGGGGGTTTGGGGGCAATGCGCCCTCTGGGAGCTGCAATAGAACCATCAGGGCACAACATTTTCTAAGCACAGCAATGGCTTGTGTCGGGAAGAGTGACTTGCTCGTTGTCTCAGGGTCTCACATCTACTGTGCTCGACGTATTGAACCTTGTAGCCATGTGCTGGCTATCCACCCTACTTCGAGAAAGGGGATCTTTTCTCTTTGTAGGGTGGTGTCCCTATTGCAGCATTAGTGACCTCCTTCTCCCCACCTTCGGCTCTGTCTCTGGGAGGGACTGGGTGCTGCTTCCCCGAGCCCATGGGCTCCAGGGCTCTCAGAGTCTGTTGTTCAATTCTGACTCCGGATGCTAGATTACAAGTTGACATCAGACCCGTGGGCTAAAGGCTCAGTCCCAGGAGACTATTTCATAAAGATGCGAGTCAGCAGGCGGCCTCAGCAGGCTACCCACACTCTGTCTAGCTGCCTGCAAACCCAGGGCCTCCCATGCCTCCCCTTGATTTTGGTGATAATTCTCTGGAGTGACTCACAGGACTCAGGAAAGTGCTCGACTGTGATTAGCCATGATTGCAGTTTTATTATAAAGGATATGACTCAGGAGTTGCGCAATGGGAGAGAAACATGGGGCCCTGGGGTGGGACAGGACCTAATGCCTCTATGCCTTTTTTGGGCATTTGGCAACTGAACATATTTGTGTACCAGGAAGACACCCAGATTACTGTTCTATTTTGATGGCAGTATCCCTATGGAGACTTATTTAGATAGCCAAATGATTGAACCCAGCCCTACCTCCCTGGGAGGTTGCAGTGGAGTTGTAGGCTCTTACAGTGGGATATCCTGATTCATGGAGACAAGTCCCCATCCTGAATGAACATACTAAAAAGAACTCAGGTGTGGTCAGAGGGGCAAAGGATGCTCTTAGCACTCATCAGGACTCAGGAATCTCAGCAGTTCTGTGCCAGAACCTGGGGCTGAGAGGTTTTGTGTAGAAACATCCATTGATCATACATACCTCATGCCACGGCTTCCATGGAGCTGCCCTCAGGAGACTGTACCTCTAGATGTGACCTTGAACACTAGAACCTTCTAGCTGAACCCGGTGGCTTGCTTTCTTCTGATATAATGATGCAATGAGAGATGGGAAGTGGGCCAGGTTGATGGTCAGCAAGGCTCATGGGTTGTAGCTTTCCCACTCACTGTGCGAGCATCCTCAGCCTCTCAATTGTCAAGTCAGAATGCAAGCCTTCATGCCTTCGGTAGCAGGACTCCCTACATGACCATGATACAAATGAACCCCATCCTTGCTACAGCAGGTGTTTGGGATGCACAAAATAAGGTAGGGGTTGTCCCCATTGTAAGAGAATATTCTATCTATCCCAGGAAAAGGACCACATGAGACTATTGTTGGCTTCTGAGAGTGGAGCCACCAAATTCAGGGTTCTTCTAGAAGACGGGATGAACAAGGGTGTGGTGTCAGTGGGGAGGAGGCCCTTCATCTGGTTAGGTTAGCAGTGGTGCATAGAAGCAGGGCTGTGAGACCGAGCTGCAGCTGGGGAGGGTTCAGGCCTAAAAGGAGGGACAGAACCATAGAGGTCACACTGGATATACAAAATCCCCGATGCCCTGCTGTCTTAGGCTGATAGAGGGCAGCTTCTGGCCCTCTCCTCTCTGATGGACAAGCTGATAGTAGCAGGGGTTCTGCAGCGAAGTCCATCTGGGCAGAGTACAGGATACCATACTGTAGGAGAAGCACAACATACCTATACATGGATGGAGGGGCTCCATCCCATGGACCAATCAGAATTAGGCCTCCTCACTGGGACCTGTACAGTATTATAGAGGGTCAGGAGGGCGGTGCTCTCTCCCTTACATCCTTTGCTTTATGCGTCCCTAACTTCAGCTCTGCTTAAGCTAGAGAACCTTGCCTTATAAAGTGGCCCTTTAGCTAAGGATGTGTATGTTGGAAGATCGCACCAGACCTGAGAGGGGATTCTTCCTTGCTCTGAGAAGCAGAGAAACCTAGCCACTGCATTGAGAATAGCAGCTTCCAGTTCTCACTTCTGCTGCTAGTGTGGCCGAAAGGGATTTTGGAGGCACCTAGAATGACATCTTCTTTAATTCTGGCATCACATGTATAAAGTCTTAGGGACCAGACTCCTGACAGCAGGGTCTGCTCAGGAATGGTGCTTCTCCCCCTGGGAAGCCATGGCCTCTCTTTCCCAGGAAGAGAGTTCCTCCACATGTGGAGCTGTGTGCATCCACTCCAGGGACGGAATGCCTCCTTATGGAGAGCCTTGACAGTTATCTCTGTTATCTCAAGTCTCAGAAAGCAGTGGCCATCTTGAACTAGCTCCATTCAAGTCAGAGTGCAGAAGCTCCTTGGTGGGCATGGGCAGGATCAGGACAAGGGCAGCATGGGAGGTGGTGGGACCCCATCATCAGCTTCTGTGGATGTGGATGCTTATCACTGCCTAAACCCAGGGATCTCTGGGATCTCTGTCTCAGCAGTGGGAGGCTTAGAACACAGTCACCCAGAGAGCACCTCCTGGCAGTACCCTCATCGGTACCCCCCCCCCACACACACAGTACACTGGCCTTTCCTTCACTGCTCTGAGATGCAGACATTTCTGTGATCCATAGAAAAGCAGGACAAAGGACAAGGACATTCCACCAGGGTCAGAGCACAACATCCCCTGTAGCAACTGCATGTACAAATGGGGCAGTGGAATCTCTGGGGGTCATACTACAGTAGGCCAGGGTTCTCCAGTCATTGCAGGGAACAAGACATCAGGTAGGGTGTCAGGTGACGTGACACAAAGCAGAATGACAGAAGACATTCCCGAGGCCCTCAGAGCAAGTCTGCTTACATCTAACCAGGCACCCAAGTGTCCTTCCTGTGTCCAAGGGACTCTTGTTCATCTTGATCCTATGATGGACCATCTCCTGCCTGGTAGGTTGGTGGCCAGTTAAGCACAGGCCTTGACCAGCAGGGTCAGAGGGAAGATATTAGTGGCCAACCTGGTTCAGATCCTGGAAAGAGACTCATTGTCAGAAAAACAGGAACCTCAGAAAAAAAAGTCCCATGTTCTGAGGAATCCATGATGGGGAAATTTCCATAGAGGCAGAGGTGACGTGGATGCAGGAGGCATCACCCTGAACCCCAGAGCTGCCTGGAAGGTGGGAACCAAAGCAAGCAGGAAGCAGAATGCTGGTGTTTCATTCTGTCTACACACTTTAGCAAACTGAGCTGAGAAACATAATGCTTGATAGTACTTCCAGTACTAATAAAACATCAAGTCTCATGCACGCAGGTGTGCAGGATTCTTGAGCAAAGACTGAAGGTGTTTCGTGTTTGCATCGTGTTTTTGTTTGCAACCACCCTGTGTAAAGCACCCGAGGAACTGGTCAGATTAAAGACACAGCTTTAAAAGTGTGAGAAGACCTGTCCCATAGGGCCACTCTGCTGAAGAGCTAAGTAAGCCAAAAGTGAGCCAGAGCATCCCAAGGCCTTCATGTTGGATACCCTCCTATAGTCTAATTACCAAGAGATGGCCAGACAGATGGTCTCCTCAGACCCATTAGCGTAACCCTAGAAACACAAAGTCAGTCCCTGAGTAAGAGTGGATCCAGGGTTCTGCCCATTTCCCTGTCGTGGTGGGGGCCAGTCTAACCATTAAAGATGTCTCCTGGCTCCAGAATAATGTCTCCAGCCAACTCTCCATTTCGGAAGGGCACAGAGCTCAGAGCTGTTGGGTAGTTCGGAAGGACCTGGAATCCAGACCCAGCCTTTCCAGGGCCGAGGAGAGAAGAATGTGCATTCATTTCCACCTACAGGGAGGCTGAATGTTTACCGCTGGCGCTGTTGAGGGAATGAAGCTTTCTCCTGCTTCACACAGAAATGCTTTTCTTACAGTTATTGATGACATGGGGACATTTCAAAGGTAATGGCTAAACAAAGTGTAAAATCCATGAGGCCTTAGCTCAAAGGGCAATAAATGTCAGCATCAATGATTAATTAGCATCTGAGTGTCATTTTAGAGATTATGGGTTGATAGATAATTAGCTATTTCCATGAAAGTGAAACGGCGTGTGCTGAACATTTCACGTCATTTGACTTTTCTAAGAAAGTCCAGGTTGGCGTAGTTCAAGTTTTGTCTGTGACTTATCAACAAGTTCTTGGTTAAGTGACGTGGGAAGAGACAGAAGTGGGCTGCCAAGGAGTCAAGGAACTCAGTACCGTCACAGGCACCACCTCCTAAGGACTATTCCCTCATCCTTAGTTCAGAGACAGTCCAGGTGCTGAGTCCTCGCCCAAGGAGCATGGCGTGTTGCCA